CCACAGTACAGAAACCGCCTTAGTGAAAATAACCAATGATTTACTCTTAGCTGCTGACCGAGGGTGCGTATCGCTATTAGTTTTACTCGATCTTAGTGCGGCATTTGATACCATTGACCACAATATCCTCATAAATCGCTTAAAGTCTACAGGTGTCCAGGGACAGGCTCTACAATGGTTTAAGTCATACTTAACTGACCGCTACCAGTTTGTGAATATTAATGGACAGCCTTCACAAGTCAGCCCAGTAAAGTATGGGGTGCCTCAAGGATCAGTTTTAGGCCCTTTACTGTTTACAATTTACATGCTACCTCTGGGAGACATTATTAGAAGACATGGGATCAGCTTTCACTGCTATGCAGATGATACTCAATTATATATTTCAACTAAACCTGACGAGACGTCTGAACTTTCTAAACTAACTGAGTGTATCAAAGACATCAAAGACTGGATGACCAACAATTTTCTTCTCTTAAACTCAGACAAAACAGAATTATTACTTATTGGGCCTAAATCTCGCACACAAATGATCTCGCAACTCAATTTACAATTAGAGGGATACAAAGTTAGCTTTAGCTCTACTATAAAAGATCTGGGTGTCATATTAGACAGCAATCTAACTTTTAAAAACCATATATCCCATGTCACAAAAACTGCCTTCTTTCATCTGAGAAATATCGCTAAATTACGAAATATGCTATCCATCTCAGATGCAGAAAAGCTAGTCCATGCTTTTATGACTTCGAGACTGGATTACTGTAATGCTCTATTTGCTGGCTGCCCAGCATCCTCTATTAACAAATACAAAATGCAGCAGCCAGAGTTCTGACCAGGTCTAGAAAATATGATCATATCACCCCAATTTTATCCTCCTTACACTGGCTGCCTGTTAAGTTTCGTATTGAATTTAAAATATTACTTCTCACCTATAAAGCTCTAAATAATCTAGCTCCTGTTTATCTAACCAACCTTCTGTCTCGCTACAAACCAACTCGCTCTTTAAGATCTCAAAATTCAGGGCTTCTGGTAGTACCTAGAATAGCAAAATCAAGTAAAGGAGGTCGAGCCTTCTCTTTCATGGCTCCTACACTCTGGAATAGCCTTCCTGATAATGTCCGAGGCTCAGACACACTCTCCCAGTTCAAAACTAGATTAAAGACCTATCTGTTTAGTAAAGCATACACTCAATGCATCACCTAGCGGGTTCCACACAGGCTTCTGCATCTTGCTTATATACACGATGAACAGCAGCTACGCTAATTATTCTCTTTATTCTCTATTTTCACCTGGGGATACTCATACCGAGGTCCTCAGATTATGCGGAGTCACTGATTGGATCCAAGACCAGCGACGTGATGATCCCAAGGTTTCCATATCCGGGACCAGGCCTTATCCTGAGCTGCTGCTGCGCTGATAGTCGTGGGGAGTGGAGATCATGAGTCTGATTCCAGCGACGTTCCAGGGACAGACGAGTCTCCGCTGAGGCCATCTTCCTGCCTAAACCACGGCGAATGAAGCTCTGCACAAGACTTTTGGCCAGCGGAGAAATTAAAATGGTCGTGCCCAACTGAGTCTGGTTCCCTCAAGTTTTTTTTTTCTTCACTCCCATCAGGTGAAGTTTTTTTTCCCGCTGTCCCCACTGCCTCACATGGTTCAGGATTGGTAGAGCTACGCATCGATGAATTGGCTCTTCAGTGTTTGAACTTTCAGTAATGATTAAATCACACTGAACTGAGCTAAACTGAACTGAACTGAACTGAACTTAAACACTAAAACCTGAACCACACTGTTCCAGTTACTATGACCATTTATGTGAAGCTGCTTTGACACAATCTACATTGTAAAAGCGCTATACAAATAAAGCTGAATTGAATTGAATTGAATTTGTCTTGATTAAGTAGATAACAGATCTATGGGGACCACATAAAAATCTCCTAAATTGAGTAATGTAGGGTTCTGCCTTTTAGGAGAGTGGTTAATCGCCTCTGTTTAATGACCAAGACTGACAAGCTTGTATTAAGAGATTGTATACCCTGCCGGTGCAAGACTCGAGATGCTATAGGAATCTGAGTAAATGAGAATAAGGTATAATAACAAATCAAAAGAATATTCAATCATAATCTAAAATAATGTGAAAGGAAATAAAATAACTTTATCAATGTTTTATAATTGGAGTCAGATAAAACGAGGATAAATATATTAATATTCTAAACCACCTCATACTAAAATTGGAGTCAAATATGCGTTAAGTTTAACATAGATCATCATTGTGCACTGGAAAGACCGAACATGCAGTGAACCTACATCCACCATTGGATACCGTCATTGGACCAACTGGCTGGACCCTACACAACCTTCAGTTTAATACCGTTGAACCAGTGATTGCAAAGTCTTTATATGCAGAAAAAAAATTACAAATTTCTGTACATAAAAGAATTTAAGTCTTTTGAATTCTGACTTGATTTGAACTAATTAGCGCGATCTATTGTGAATGAGATGCAACTTCAACCATATGTTCAGATTAAAGCAAGTGGAAGAAGAATTGTTTGGATACACGGGTTGTCAGTGTTGCATTTATAAATGTGCTGCAAAGAAGGATTCATTTTTTTTATTCCCCGTTATAAAAGCGCAGCTGCTGGACTTACGTGTGAATTACAGTGGTCTGCTAACATGCGAAAAACTACATTTGTAAGAAACATTTTTTACCCAACAGCTTTTCGCATCTAGAAATGGGGAAACCCGAATTTGCCACTTGTCTGCTTTTAAAAAATGATGCGGTTCCAGTTGGTGTTGATTGTGCTGTCTCTACAAATTTGGTAAGTGTGTGATTAGTATTTATTGATTATGTTTATTCTGAGGTCGTCAGCAGTACTCTCACTTTTTTAAGACAGACCTAAGTCAAAATGATTTAGTTACTAAGTTTACAGGACGTTAATATCACTTTTAATATAAACATATAAACAATATATTATGAAATAAATTAATATTAATATAAACAAATATATAATATTTATATATTTATATTAATAATAATATAAACAAATTAATATAAACAAATATTATGAAAGATTCGCTGTAAATGCTGCTCTCCGAGTGTAAACATGTTTAAAACATCTTAATCAAACTATTACTGTCGTGTAGGATTTTTGCCTCATTTTGTGACAGGATAGTCTATACACAAACGGCTTATTGATAATATTTTCATGCCATCCGTGACGAGAGATATTGGATGCAACTATAAACTGGTGGAAATGGAAGATCATGCCGCATGCTGAATGGAAGAAAAAACCTCCATATTTCACAATGCAGGTGTCTGTGGTCTGCACTAACTGGGTAGATGCAAAGAGTGTCAAACAGTGTGTGTGTGTGTGTGTGTGTGTGTGTGTGTGTGTGTGTGTGCACGTGTGTGTGCATGCGTGCGTGTGTGGCAGGGCCGGAGTGGGACTCCTTTTTAGCTCTGGAGTTTCAAGCCTTAGACCAGCCCACCTCAGTCGACGACTGACTATATTAAAATAATATTATTTTTAATTCAGTTTCAAATGACACAAACATGTTTTTTTCAAGGACACAGCTGCTTTAGAACTTAAAATGTTTTTTATAAATATGAAAACATTCATTCTTTATAGATATCCAGTCCTTTTTAACAGCCGTCACACACACACACACACAAATGTACCCCTACATAAGTAACCCAAACAGTATTTTATGTCTTAACACAGAAAAAGAAAAAATGTATACACTGGTGAGGTTCGATCTCGGATCAGTGGCATCCTAATATAACATACTAACCACTAGACCACAATGGCGCCGTTAAGCAGTGCACTGTTATCTGCTGCTATAGATGTCTACTCTTTTCCTCCCCTTTTTAGATCTCTGATCAAGTTATGTCAGATTTATTAATGTAGTGAATCATCTGATTTTGCTCACGGTGCTGCGAGAAAATAAATAAAAAGAGGAGCTGCGGCAAAATAATGAATAAAAAGAGCGAGACTATGGTCAAATAAACAAATAAGTGAAAAAAGTGCGACTGCTAAGAGTGCAAGCAGCTAGGGACACCGGCCCTTGTGGCCAAGAAACGGACCGGCCCACCGGGAATTCTCCCGGTTAGCCAATCTGGGCCTGGTGTGTGGACTATCTTGTCGCAAAACGCTGCGAAAAGCCCTACATGACGTTTACATGTCTGTATTGCACTTTAATAATGCAACTAAATTGGGCATACTCCGCACGTCTTAATTCGATTTCACTTTAGTTTATGACCTTAATCTGATTAATCAAAACTCACTGTTTACATGGTTAACTCCTAATCAGAGTATTGCCTTAATTGCATCAAAATTTAATTATTATTGTCCATGTAAACAAAGTCAGTAACACTTCAAATCCAGGTTTTGGTATATGCAACTAAAGCTTGCTTGCCAACAAAAACAATGTAAAAGAAAAAAAAGATTGCTCCAAATATGTATACTCAAATAATGTTTAAAATTATAAAAAAGTACGCAATATATTTAGACAAATTCCACAAAAAATTAGTAACCCCTTGTATCAGATTAATAAATACCTTGTCATGGCTTACAATGGTTTAAGACTAATAGTCAAAAGTTTAAGAATTTAATTTCTTGGGGCCTATAACTTAAATCAACATGAAAAGAAAAAAAAAAGTGGTTCATGAAAGATGGCATCTGAGTTTAATTACTTTTGATACATAGGCAAAATATAAATGGACTTACATATATTTGGAAAGGACTATGATTACGTACAGTCAGAAGAATTTACAACAACGGTATAGGCAAAAGTTCTCAAATGAGGTTGTGCAGTGCACATTAAAATACGTCAGAATTCTTTAAAAAAAAAAAAAAACTAATTTTTTTCTTTTAGATCACTAGAGGCAAATGCACTTCTCACTTTCAAGTCCAAATGCAATGTGTCAGTCAAGTTTCTACAAGTGAATTCAGGAGACACACCAATTAATAACCAGTCTAAAAAAGGAAGAGCCAAGAAACAAATTTAGTTTTAAAAGGCTTTATTAGGCTAGCATGACTCTTACTCAAGTTTAACTCACAGCAGAGTACCTCCATGTTCATCTCTTCTGTTTGCGAGCCCAGATGTTCCAAGGAGAATTAAGACTTTGAGGATTAGAGACTGACTGAGGTACCGGAGGCCAGAAGGGGTTTTTAAAACCAGTGTTCACTGGGTTAAATGGCATTGGAAAAACTGGATACTGTTGAACCTGAGGGGCAGCTGGGGTGGGTGGTGGAAGTGGTTGTAATGGTGCAAATTCATAAGGAGGCAACATTGGGAACCAGGATTCTTGAGACTCAGGGTACCAGTGCCGATGATGGTGTCGATGATGGTGCCTTCGGTGAGGGAAACCTCCATAGTAATAAGGGTAATACATTGGAAATGGATTGTAAACAGGGGCTTTAACTGGAGCAGGAGTTGTGGGGGGTGCAGCAGGAGGAGCCTGGTTCCAAGGGTACCACCAGGGGTATCCAAATGGGAAATATGGATAGCCTTGAGGAAATGGTGTTGGGGGAACAGTCGGTGTGTCTGTTGCCTTTGGGCAGGAAAGAACCACTTCTCGGTCTCCCAACAGCAAAGTCAAGTTCCAGTCGGTGTCCTGAAAACGAGGGCAACAGTCAACTGCACAGAACTTTCGGTCAATGTAACTAAAAAAAAAAAAAAAAAAAAAAATTTAACTGCCCACGCTTACCTGACTATCCCAACAGCTTCCTGTAAATGGTGCAGTCAACACCACTGAGCCACCAACATTATCCAGAGTAAACGAGCACATGGAGGACGTCAGAGACAGAGGCATCCATGATCCAGAAACTGAAGCAGAAAAAAAAAATAAAAAAAAAAAAAAACCTTGAGGCTAAGCAAATAAACCAACTTTAAAAGAAACCACATGAAAGCAGCTTACCTTTAACAAGAACATCATCTCCTCTGACACCAAATGAGACGATCATACCGGAGGAGGTGCAGGACACCACAGGAAGGCGAGGACTTACAGGGCAGGACATTTGCACTGGAGCCCCCATTATAATGAGCGGAAGAACATAACTACCACCCTATTAGAGGTGGATTAGGTTATTCAAGGTATAATGATTGGAGACGAACCTGTCAGATTTAATATTCACACTAACCTGTTGTCTGACGTTACATCCGGTGTATGGAGCAACAAGAGAAACATCCCTGCGTGCCCGCTTAAGTGAGAAACCACAGCTGGCTGGCATCTCAGACAAAGACACTGGTGACCCCTCTCCTGATGCAGGGGGATTCAAGAATTTAGATTGAGGGGTGAAAACAAACATACACAACCCCATTCACACAACTTGCCTCTCTCAACCAGAAAGTGTGGTGTTCTGTGTCCTTTAATATTTAAGGTCATTGAATCATTTCCGCACTGTAGAGAAGGACCCAGTCGTTGCAGTTTAGCTCTTGCCAGCCGGAACCGTTCTTAAAAACAATTAAAGTGATGTTATTTATCATATTTAGAAGTAGAGTATGCCTCCATTAAAATAATACTTACCATCCTCAATTGTTTGTTCAGCTGAAGCAGGTCTGGATTTATCCTTTTGATTATCAGGTTCAACACTTTGACCACCAATTGAAAGTCTGCCAATATGAATTGCGTCTCCAGAGACTGCTCCATTAGCACTAGAATCAGAAAAGGCCTTTGGACCAGCAATTGAAGAGCTGAATGACATCACAGCCATCACAAAAAGTAATATGCCCTTTGGCCAAGGCATGGTGAGTCTACTGTAGCTCCCCACTGAAACCTAAAAACTGTTTCTCTTCACACTTTCCTAATATATCTTTAACTCTAAAGATTATAAAGGTTATTGAGACACACTGGACATTTTGTAGTCACTTTTGACACCGACAGACCAATCACATCTGTTCATCAATCAGCTTGTTGTTTTCACCTGTGCCTCGTTCACCTGAGAGTTAATGCAAGGGCTGAATTTGGAAAAGCACATTCGGCTGGTAAAGACAAAATATGTGATAAAAAGATTAGATATTTATCAGATAAATCATTAGTTATATCTGTTTTAATACAGTGTGGAAATCTGGAAAGCCTCCCTCCCTCATACATGATATGTATGAATGTGCATGACAATTATTCCAAATGTAAAGTCTAGAAAAGCTCATTGGCAACGAAAAGATACAGACCAATTGTATTAACACATAAACTGTGTGAACTAACTGAATAAATGATAGAACCCAAATTGAATCATGTTTTGGATCCAGCCATCTTTATCATTATTATTTTACTTTTTTAATACAGAGAAAGCAACAGAGCATAATATGGTGAGTAAGGTATAAACATAGTATATATATTAAAATTGGATTAAGTATTTTTTTAATTGATAGAAGCATTCAAATAAGAGCGGGATCCTCTTATTCATATATACACAACTAAAAATGATACAAGGCAGTGAATGCAGCCCTAATGCTTTCAACAAAATGATAAATAATGTTTTAATAATGTTGGATAAGCGATTAGAAAACAAGTAGAAATTTGTTGTCCATATAAGAAAGTGTGCAGAACGCTGTAGTTGAAATGCAATCGTGGATTAAGAGTTTTAGTTTAAAAAAAATAAAAGCTAAACTGTTAAGTTACAAATATATGAAGAAGATTGAGTGCAAATATGTGAATTTAGATTTTTTGTTATTTTAATAGACTGGAAGATATCAATTGCATGATCAATAGATTGTAGATAAATGTAAATGAAGAATTAATGTAATGAGGTGCATCCGGCGCAATGATACTATTTACGCAGTACCTCAAAATGGTCCCTAGCTGACAAAGTGATTGGGATGGTGAGAATAAAGAACATTTTCAATATACTCCAATAATTGTTGGAAGAAAAACAGTTGGGAATAAAAAAAGAAGACAACATTATGTGATGTTAGAATTGGACAAACCTAATTGCATACAATAGAGCAACAGGAGACTGAATTTGGTTTTAAATGTAATATTTCTGAAACAGTTGATAAAGTGAGAAGGATATAATAATGAAAGATTACACCTTGCAAAAGCACTTCATATATTAGCAATTAGTCAGATCTTACGTCAGATATTGTTAATAATGATGCAAATATGCTTAATATCCTGTTTAAGTATCTCACAGAAAAAAATAAGTTAATCAGATTGTGTTAATACAATGATGCTGATCATCAGCTCAGTCTTTGATTCTTTATGTCAGTTTATACTTGTATCTAGGGTATGTGATAGGTCTGGCTTTGCACAGATGCTTACCCTTCACATTCATCCTGACATGGACCTTAGAGAAAAATTTAACCAGAAGTACTGTATGGCTGGACTGCAGACAAAGTCAGAGGTCAGAATTTCAGCAGTGATATGTCCCACTTTCAACTTAATGCCTTCCAGTATATTGCACACCACAGTTTTTTCCACTAAGTAAGATGTGAATATTTCATAATTCATGTGCCAATTATGCTAATCTCACTTATCAAGAACTTTTCACCATTTACGTCAAATGACAAATCGCCGCCTTGGAATTTCATGGTTCTATCTGCGTTCTAAATGATTCTGAGATATTGATCTTCAAAGATTTTGCTTTCCATATTGTGGTGAGGGGGCGTGGCAGAGAGCCGTGGCAGGGGCCGCCGCATAAGTGGATTCACCTGCGGTATGCACCGGCCTCGAATCATCATCCCACGGAAGGAGCTCTGGACTATAAAAGGAGGAACGATGGCAGAGAAAGCCAAGAGAGGACCGGGCCCAGGCATATTGGTTTACGTTTGATTTTAGTTTGACAGCAGTCTTCGTGAGGAGCTGCTGTCCATTTGTTTTGGTTTAGACTTGTTATTAATAAATAATTTAAACCAGAGTCGGTTCTCCACCTTCTTCTTCCCGGTGGCCAAAGGGCTGTGAACTATTACACTGGTGCCGAAACCCGGGAGAAGGAGGGACACGTTGTCCAGTTGCCCTTGCTGCTGTGAGGGGGGCGAGTGTTCAGGAGTTAACCCGAGTGGGGGAGAAATCTGTTCGTCTGCTCAGAGTGCCGGGGCGGCCTGAGGCTGGGCGAGGAAAGGATCTGCCTGCTGCCGTTTCCCAGCATGGGGAGGAGCAGGGGACGCGGGGCTCACCACCGGAAGGGAAATTGCTAAAGGGAGCCATCCCACAGAACCCGGTGGAGTCGCTGCGATCTGCCATGATGCCGTAGCCTGCATCCGTCCACCAAAGCGGGAGCGGAGCAGGAGACCAGAGATGCCGCCAGCCTCAGGCCGCCCCGGCACTCTGGGCAGACGAACGGGTTTCTCCCCCACTCGGGTTAACTCCCGGACACTCGCCCCCCCCCTCTCAGCGGCGAGGGCAACTGGACAACGTGTCCCTTCTTCTCCCTGGTTTTGGCACCACTGTAATAAAGTCCACGGCCCTTTGGCCACCGGAAGGAAGGAGGTGGAGAACCGACTCTGGTTTAAATTATTTATTAATAACAGGGACGGCAGCTCCTCATGGAGTCTAAACCAAAACAAACGGACAGCAATAGTAAAATAATATGCCTGGGCCTGGTCCTCTCTCAGCTTCCTCTGCCATCGTTCCTCTTTTTATAGTCCAGAGCTCCTTCTGTGGGATTCGAGGCCGGTGCGCACCGCAGGTGAATCCACTTACGCGGCGGCCTCATTCCGTTCCCACGGCTCTCGGCCACGCCCCCCTCGCTACACATATATCAAACAGTAAATGTGTAAATGTTTTTTTTTTGTTTTTATAAAAAGTCTAAAATGTAAACAACTTATAATTACCATCCCATAATGGAAACAAGTTGTCATTTCAAAAGAATATGTGTTTAACTCAAGTTTGACAAAAATGTCATGATAGAAATGTATAATTCTATGGTGACGACATTTAACTAAAGTCAAGGTTCTTCACTCTTCACTGGTCAGATATCTTACTTCTAGCGCCAATCTAGATGTCATATCCAAGTAGTTGGTAAAAAGAAATCCGACATTGAGTTGTCTGGTACACAACATGGGGTTAATATCACATGCGATGGAGACATTGTGATTAATTTTAAGACAGCACTCACAGTAAAACGAAGTTCTTTTCATGAAAGATGGCAGGGTGACTTCAATATTTAAATCATACAAGTAGACACTGTACAGTCAAGTGTACAATATAAGTGAAGCTAATTATTCCTAAAGGAAGTTGAATGGTACAAATTGCAATTAATTGCTTAAAATAATAATAAACAAAAAAACACACCTCATGTGGTATTGCTTAACCAAAGTATAACCACCACCATAAGCAGCCTGAAAAACGGTTCACATTTTATTAGGCTTAAAGTGAAACTGAAGACAAGGTACCAGACATGTAGAAAGAATCCTTCCAAGCAGAATTAAGACTATTGGGATTGGAGATGAACTTGTGAGGGAACTATGGCCAGTAGGGGTTTTTAAACCAGTATACAACTGACTGAAAGGACATTAAATGAACTGGATATGGTTGAAGGTGCAGTGGATTGATATTGTGGAAATTCATAACTAGAAGGAATTCTTGAGTACCAAGACTGTTGATAATGTGGTGGTGTTGGAGGGTACCAGGACTGAGGCTTTGGTGGTGTCACAGGGTATCGGGACTGAAGCTTTGGTGGTGCTGCTGGGTACTAGAATTGAGGCTTTGGTGGTACCACAAAGTACTAGGACTGAGGCTTTGGTGGTGCCCCAGGGTACCAGAACTAAGGCTTTGGTGGTGCAGAAGGGTACCACGACTGACAATTTGGTGGTGCCAAGGAGTATTGTGCCACGGGGTACCAGGACTGAGGCTTTATTGGTGCTGCAGTGTAGCAAAATGGTTGGGGTGCTTGTGGTGAAGGGAAACCTTTAGAGTAGGAAGGGTAAAACATGGGAAATTTTGGAACTTCAGGAGCAGCAATTGTAGTAGGTGGCACAGTGGGAGTAGCCTGGTTCAAATAAGAATTCCACCAGATCACTTCATAGGGGAAAACTGGATACCCTTGTGGAATGGGTGCGGTAGGAGGAGCTGGAGGAATGGTTGGTGCTGGTACTATTGGGCAGGAAAGAATCACTTCTCGGTCCCCAAACATCAACCTCAAGTTACACTCAGTATCCCGGAGGAAGAGGTCAACAATCAACTGCACGACCATTTCTTTTAATACACTAGAAATTCACTGCCAATGCTTACCTGATTCTCCTAGCAGCTTCCTGTAAATGGTGCAGTCAACACCACTGAGCCACCAACATTATCCAGGGTAAATGAGCACATGGAGGATGTCAAAGGCAGAGGCATCCATGATCCAGAGACAACAAGAAAACCAAAAGTCAAAAAAAAAAAAATCTTCAACTTGGTTAATACACAGATTTCAAGCAACTTACCCTTAACAATAACATCATCTGCTGTGATGCCAAGTAAGACAATCATACCAGAGAGGTGCAGGACACTAACTTTGCATTAAAGCAAAGGCTGAATTTGGAGTACTCAAAATGCAGAACATTTTCCACAGTCAAGGTTTATGAATAATACCAGACTAAAATGTAAATGTGAGATGTTTTAAATGGGAGAAACTTGCACCGGTCGATCTTAAAATATATCATTATTTTGTTTTGTCTCAATGTGGACACCAATAATGCTTTAGGCACATTTATAAAAGTTACACTTAGGGTGCTTTCACACCTACACTTTTGTTTCGGAACGTATCTCGTTTGCCCAGTTAGCGCGGTTCGATTGGCATATGTGAACAGGGCAATCGCGCTCTGTTCCGCGCCAAAGTAATCGCTCCGAGATCGCTTGAATGAGGTAGTCTCGGCTTGATTGAAACAAACCCTGGAGCGGTTCGATTGTAGTGAGAAAGCGATCCGATTCGAGCGCGGTTGTATCACAGTGTTTTATGGATATGTAATAGGCATATACGGCTATATGAAGAGAGAATTATGAGCGGGAAGTTTCGCGAGTCTCCGGATGCCCGCAAACGAGTGATGATCTCCCGGTAATCTCGCGTCTCCCTACAGGTCCTCAAATAG